CCAGGAGTTCAAGACCAGCTTGGGCAACATAACGAGACCTCGTCTCTACAAAAAATTAAAAAATTAGCCAGGTGTGGCGGCACATGTGTCCTACAGTCCTCACTGCTTAGGAGGCTGAGACAGGAGGGCTGCTCCAGCCCAGGCATTCAGGACTGCAGTGAGCTGTGATCACAACACTGCACTCCAGCCTGGATGACAGAGTGAGACCCTGTCTCAAGAAAAACATTATTATTAGTTTGTCCTCTACTACTAATCTTCTTTTTTTTTTTTCAAATATGCCACCATTCTATTTGGCCTAATTTGAGAAGTCAAGTAGCCAAGACAAATTTAAATTTACAGTAAGTCACTATTCCTGGCAGCTGCTCCTTTCCACCTAGGAAACTCACCTCTAAACAGAAAATCCTTTTCATCTGTATAGCACTTTATGGTTACAAAGCAAATATACACACATGACTACCAAGTTCCGAACCTTCATTCCGCAGACAAGGAGACAGGCTAAGTGTCCTGTGTAGGGTTAGCCAGGCAGCAAACGGCAGGGCCACTGTGGTGAGCTTCACCTTATAGCCCATGAATGTGCAGTGACAGCTAATACTCACCAAGCCAGAAACTCATTTATGTGATATCTTAGCTCTCCCCCATACTCTAAATGGCCTAAATCTGATCAGTGAGATGGTATAATTCTATTCAATAAGTTTTCATCATTTATATAATTTCAGGGGAAAACAATCGACATGTTTATATAGAACAGCTGGTCTGTGAGAACCTCAATAAACACTGTCCTCAAACTTCTTAAACAGGAGGCCAGTTCACTGACCCTCAGACCGTTGGAGGGCCGGACTGCAGGCCCCAGGACAAGTCAGCTGCTGAGCAGGACAGGCAGCGGCAGCAAAAACACCCAGCGGGCCAGATAAATGTCCTAGGCAGGCCGCATGTGGGCCATGGGCCGCAGTTTGAGGACGCCTGGTCTTGTCTATGGGAACATGGACACAGAGAGCATCCTTGTCTTTTCCTAGTCCTATTCTGCAATAAATAGAATTAGTCAACTTTTAACAGTTATACTAGGACCCCTTGCATTAAGGAGAATCCCAGAAGTTGATGAATTTCCTAAATAAATAAAAGTAAGAAGTCATTATTTGCTATCGATGAACTACAATTGAATAATTTTTCATCTACATTAAAATAAAAGCTTCTGCTTAGGCCTGGGGCGGCGGCTCACACCTGTAATACCAGCACTCTGGGAGGCCAAGGCTGGTGGATCACTTGAGCTCAAGAGCTTGAGACCAGCCTGAGCAATAGCAAGATCCCATCTCTACTAAAAATAGAAAAACTGAGGCAAGAAAATCATTTGAGACCAAGTACTTTAGGTTGCTGTGAACCGTGGCACTCTAGTCAGGAGGCCAGAATGAGACTCTGTCTCAAAAAAAAAAAAAAGCTTCTGCTTAGGGATTTGATGTCTACTTCAATCTTATATATACCAATCTTCCAATCTTTGACAGAAAACTTGTTAGACATTTTAGTAAAGTACAAAGATCACAAATATAGAAAGTTCTGTATTTTAATTCTTAAGCTAAACTGAATAAGCAAACTAAAATTTACTATAAGAACATGGCATGATAAAATATAAAATGAATGGGGTTTGCGAAAAAGAAATACATTGTTTAAAAAAGATGAGGAAAAAGAAATACATTGTTTGATGCGGAAAAAGAAATACATTGTTTAAAAAAGAAAACCACATTGACTGTTACTAAACTTATCAGTAGAACACCAAAAAGTACACACAGATTAACAGAAATCTGTTTTGCACGACCGGAGGTGGGGTGGTAGAAAACAAGTTAACCTTTAGGCTGAAAAAACAATCCATCTTCTTCAACGTAAATAACAGTAAAGTGCTATACCATCACTCCAATTATAGTTTTGTGGGTTTTTTTAATCTCTCAAAGGTAACCCAAGCCTTTCTCGTATTCAGTTTCTAATATTTAGAGTACTCTTAACCCATTATCTATCCTCCGTATCTTAATAACCTCCCTGATCCCAGCCCAGACTGCCCCACCTCAGTGCACCTGTAGACCTCCTGCCCTACCACGAGCACACAGCTAGGGGAGACCTCCACTCAGGTTCCACACGGGCAGGGAAGGTCTCTGTTTTGTCTAACACTATGTTCCTAGACCAAGTACTGTGAGTACTATATCAGTTCAATAAATACTTGTGAAATAAGTCGACTAGAGAAGAGGGAAAAATAAATTTATAGTAAAATTTATGTACTTTATGTATGATAAATTAAAGCAGTATATTTTAGAAAAAAAGATTTTTATGCAAATAAGAAGTTAAAAATAGAACCTAAAAGCTATTTAAGATTAGATAAGCGCTTTGGAAGAACTATTATAAAAGAGATATTAATTATATTACTATTACATATCAAAGCTAGTCTTTAAGTAACTTAAAAAAAGTAAAGTGTGCCAACCTGAACTTGGTTACATATTGAAGTACTGCATTACAGTCTAAGAAAATCTGTAACTAAGACTTAACACACTGAAGAGTAGCCTTCTCTAAGTCCACACTAGTAGTTTTACTCATTTATATTTCATATATCAATAGAATAAACATAAATGATTAGATAAATACCACCTATGATAATTAATGACAACTTAAAAATTATGGCTATCTGAAAGTTCACAAAAACACACAATAGAAAATAGAATGGAAGTTAATGTTTTAAAATAATATATATTAAAAAATTATTTCCACGTTTACTAGTACTAATGAACTTTTTTTGAACTATTACTATGTGAAAGACACTGTTACTTTACATTCATTATCTCATTAGTCTCCACAATAACCTTATGATGTAGGCAGTATACTAAATCTCCATTTCACTTAGAAACGAAAATATAGAGATCAGGTGACTGGCCCGATGTCCCTCCCATGGCAGTGACAGGTAGAATCATATTTTAACTTCACAAGTTGATGGGCATTGCAGCCCAAGCTCTTAATCCAAGTACAGAAATATTTCCTAAATTGATATTTTTACAAAATGAATTAATAAATTAACAAATATTTTAATAATAACGATATATGATATGATATACTGCTCTGGTTCAGATTTACAGGGACAGTGAGAGACTTTTCTAGCACTGAGATACACACAGGGAAATCATTAATTTATTTTAATAGTCTTTATCTTTGTTAAAATTAATCCCAAAAGTTCCCTGAACTTGAAGGTTATCTTGACAGAGTATGTTAATAGAAAATATCCTGTGATATTTCTAAAAGTTTTATAATTATAAATGAGTGAAGTGAACCAATCTTGATATATGTAATTCTTCTTTTCTTTAAAAGATAACAAAGGAATTATCTAAAATTTAATGTTCAAAGTAATTTCCAGAGGAAGAATATCTACCAGATTAGGGGTAGGAAACCGATTCCAAGTCTGTTTTATTAGAGACTTCATATAATGATACTTTCCTCCCTTTTCCCACAATAAAGACAAACTTGTTAATATTTCCAAATACAATGCCTTTACAAAAGTATAAGACGTTTGCCTATAGCAGATTTGTGCTGGGAAGGTAGATGTGAATACCTATGAAACAGCTGTACATCTCGGCCCATCTTTACCAAACGAATAGGTGGATCTTGAGCAGTTAACGTCTTCACATCACAGACCAGTAACTAAGATGCATCAGAAACATCCACTCAAAGATTTATGTGGTCTTGCACGAAGGAAAACAGTATCTCTACAATCAAGTTTACTTTTTAACTTGTAAATTTCATTTAAGTTTAAAAATAAATTACTAATAAAATCATAGAAAACTGCATTCTTTTAGAATGGCTTTAAAAAGATGATATTATTTGTGCTGGTGACTTATATATAAAATACACTATATATATCACTTTCCTTAACTGTGTTAAATGCATACACTAACGTCAAACAAATTACCTTGCTTCTGTTCACAGTTCACAGCACAGCCCAGAATGAGCTGAAGCATCCTCCCGAGCTCGGCTGCGTCAGAATGCTCCCCAATAAGGTTCACATCAGGAAGGGTGAAGTCATTAATTTGCTGTCCTAAAACCTGAATAGAAATAAAAAGATTATAACTGCATTTACATGTATATGACCAAATAAAATAGTTCACTGAAATTAGTTTATCACCAAAAACTCACTGCCGAGAACAGAGTGATCACGTCAGTCTCACCCCCCCAGGGCTCCTTCGGCCCCCCCTGCCTGAACTGTAACTGTCTGAGTCTCAGCAACGCAGTCCTTCACCTGGGGTGTGACACACCGAGCACTCTCGATTCTCCCCCCACTTCAAGAAAGACTGTCTGTACACACTCTCTGAACCACAGGGCATCAGAAGAGCTGACCTGAAATACAAATTCATGTCTCAACAGCGAGTCTCCTCAGCCACCTTCATTCCATTTGACCCCCAAATGCAGGCAGCAAAACACCTCTATCAGGAAGAAGCATGGAGGATTCTTTTATAGAGAAACTGAAGCCAAATGAAATGACTTACACACAGTCAAACAGGCAGGACTCTGGATGATACCCCAGCTGAGAAACCCAGGTTCCAACCACTTTTTACAGAGCTTTGCTTGGAAATATCAATAAATAACCAAGGACATTAAGACATTTGAGAAAAGTTCCCAACATGAAAACAGACAAAAACAAAGAAACCCAGAAGAATGAAAAAAATGGATGTAGGATATGAAAGAAAATAAAAATTTAAAAATCCTATTAATGCATACACAGGTTTCAAAACCATCAAGAAAAGCAAGAAAATGATGATTTAAAAATGTGAGACTGGGCCGGGTGCTGTGGCTCACACCTGTAATCCCAGCACTCTGGGAGGCCGAGGCAGATGAACTGCCTGAGCTCACAGGTTTGAGACTAGCCTGAGCAAGAGCAAGACTCTGCCTCTAAAAATAACCAGGCATTGTGGTGGGCACCTGTACTTCCAGCTACTCCAGAGGCTGAGGCAAGAGAATCGCTTAAGCCTAAGAGTTTGAGGTTGCTGTGAGCTTTGATGCCACAGCACTCTACCCGAGGCGAAATAGTAAGACTCTGTTCAAAAAAAAAAAAAAAAAAAGGATCAATCCAAGAGGTTCAATAGCTAAACAGGAGTTCTAGAAAGAGAACAGAGAAAATAAAAGAGAAAGAAATATATATGTATATGTACATATATAAAAAAGATAATTTCCTAAAACTAAAGTAGCAGGCATTCAGATTTTAATGGCTTGCTAAGTGTAAAGCACAATGAAACAAAACAAAAACCCCTCTTCATACCAAAGCACACCAGCATGAAGAAGGAGCTAAAAAGATCTTAGAAGCTTCCAGAAAATGAACAAGTTATCAACAGCGAACAGCAATCCAAATGAGAAATTTCAGCAGTAGCTCTGGAAGCCAGAGACAGTGAAGCAATGCTTTTAAAGTATGGAGGGAGGATTTCCAACCTGGAATTCCCTATCTAACTCAACCAAAGTACAAACGGAGAACTAAGATTAGTTTCAACTATGCAAGGTCTAAAAAAATTACCTATCATGTACTTTTGCGAAGATGTCACTGGAAAATGGGCTCTCCTACAAGCAGAAAGCCAGGAAAGAGAAATACAAAGGATTCAGCAAACAGACCAGGACAGGAGAAGGACAAAGGAATTCTCAGTATGAGGCTAAAAGGTAATGTCAGAACATGTATTTACTTACTATCCAGTTAGAGTGAATAACCTTACATTTTTACTTCAGAAATGGGGCAAGCCTAGATCCCCTGGGGATATTTTCACAATAAATGGTGTACGCATCAAGTTACCTTTCAAGTCTGAAAAACTATGGTTTCTATAATGTATAAAGAAGTGGAGATTCAAGACTGCAGACCTGCGTATATGTTATGTATACATTCATGGACATTTCGGAATCTCACAGCATATAGCTCATACTTTTTTTTTTTCTTTTGTGACAGTTTTACTATGTCACCCTCGGTATACTGCCATAGTGTCACAGCTCACAGCAACTCAAACTCTTGGGCTTAAGCGATTCTCTTGCCTCAGCCTCCCAAGTAGCTGGGACTACAGCCACAACACCCGCTATTTTGTTGTAATTGTCATTGTTGTTTGGCAGGCCTGGGCTGCTTTCAAACCTGCCAGCCCCAGTGTATGTGGCCAGAGCCCTAGCCACTGAGCCATAGGTGCTGAGCCTCCTATTTTTTATTTTGTTTGAGACAGAGTCTCACTCTGTCACGCTGGGTAGAGTGCCATGGTGTCATCATAGCTCACAGCTGCCTCAAACTCCTGGGCTCAAGCAATCCTCCTGCCTCAGCCTCCTCTTGAGTACCTGGCAACACAACCTTCCACCTCAAATCCTGCTAATTTTTCTATTTTCAGTAGAGCCAGGGTGTCACTCTTGCTCAGGCTGGTCTTGAACTCCTTGACCTCAAGCAATTTACCCACCTCAGCATCCCAGAGTGAAGGATTATAGGGTGTGAGCCATTTTATATTATTGAAGAATTTTTTTTTTTTTTAAGAGACAGAGTTTCACTGTCGCCCTCAATAGAGGGTTGTGGTGTCACAGCTCATAGCAACCTCCAGCTCTTGGGCTTAGGCGATCCTCTTGCCTCAGCTTCCCGAGTAGCTGGGTATTATTGAAGAATTTTTATAAATATGACTTTTGATGGCTGAATGGAATTTGTCCTATAAATGCTTTATAATTTTCTTGTTGCTGGACATTTGGGTTATTTTCAGTTTTTGCTTACTATGACATAATGATGACATGGATAGCTTAACAGTTCTAGAAGACAAATTTCTAGAAACAGAATTTCTATGTCAAAAGATGTATGCATTTATAAAGCTCTAAAATACATACACGAGTACCTTCATGTGGTTTACAGAGTGAGTAATAAGTAAATGCACACAGAGACATTTAATTACAAATTCTAGCAGGTGGTAGGAGCTGTGAGAAAATAAAGGCAGAGACGGCACCAAACCACGGAACAGGCTCACCAGACGCTATGGACACTCAACACAGAGACAGAGGCAGACACCAGATGCTGGGGACACTCAGCTCAGGCAGACAGTGGCAGACACCAGACGCCGGGGACACTCAGCTCAGGCAGACAGTGGCACACTCACAGACATCATGCACTCATGAATGTGATTAGGCTTTTAAAAGGACATAAGAAAAGTTCCAAAGGTTCTACACCATCATGAGAGGCTGAATTTCTTTTCCCTCTCTGAGCTTTTCTTTATCTTAAACCATTATAAAATTAAAGTATCCTGTAGTAATACCTCCAAGCAGAATGAGAAAAAAGTCCTTACCTCATGATTATAATCCAAGATTCCTTTTAAAATTTTCTTTAAATTGCTTATCTGTTTAAAGGGAGAAAAACAAGTGGGTAAAAGGCAAGCATGGCTCAAAACAGTTTAACACAGAAAATTTGTGAGCCAACTAATCATTCTAGTTAATCATAAAGTAATTATAAAAAAAAACAAATTTAATGACATATATCAATTATCATCAGCACATCAAAAAAGTACTACTAACAGCTGTTGAGCCAAAAGATTTGTAAAACAGATTACATTCCCAATTACCTAAAACCTTCAATGTCTGGAGAGTGACTAGCTAAAACGTCCCGCTGGTACAGAGGAAATATGCCGTCCTTAACAATGCAGACTCCAGTTAGGCTCATTTCCCTAGAAAAGTAGAACTGCCTCTACACCGAGTTTCACGCCTAAAGTTAGAGCATTAAACAAAAATTACAGTGAAAATAACCCTTGGAAATTCTCTTTAGAATAACTCGCAAAGTATGTCTCCAAATTCCTCCACTGTCCAAAACCCACTACTATTTCTTTAGTTAAGCACCAGAGTAACACTGGGCATTGCAAGGGACTTGTGCTGTAAGAAACACCTAGAACTGAGACGGGGGTGGGGGGGTGGGGGAGGGGGTGGGGCATCCCCTGCTGTCAATCACAGTCCTTTTCCTCTTCCTTTCTGACTAACTCACAGACTTATCTTTGTGTTCAGTTACACATGTTATATGATATGATTCTGTTCATCTAGGTGAGCTGGCCAGTCTGAGTAGCTGAAGATATCCTAGAACAGCAGATAGCTGCGCCTGAGGCTATCAAATAAAAGAGCCTGAATCACAGCAGTGCAACCAGTAGTTAAGTAAAGACATATTTATTTTTAAGGGGAAAATAAATGGAAAACTTAGCTTACTTCAAAAAACCTCATAAATATCTTATACTTCTGGAAATTTTGGAAGTATAGAAATTCTTATTTTATTGAATTTTATTTCCTCTATTCTAAGATGTTCATTTTTCCATATTTTTCATACAGGAGAACTTCCATGGCTGATCCCCTCTCTGCACGGACCACCTCGAGCTGACTAATTTTCATAGACCAACATGCACCATAGGTACAGTAGTTCTTCACATCCATGACCTCTGCATCTTCACTAGTTTGTTACAGTCCCTTGAGTGGTCAACTTACAGGTTCGACTGTATTTAAAATGAGAATGTCTTTAAAATCAATATGTTCATTCAATATGATAGTTTTTTGTTCTATCACAAAAAGTTAATCAATGGCATCATAAAACTGAAGGAGTGTAACAGAGAACTGGAAATTCAGATTGAACGCTAAGAACAGATCAACTTTTTCATCTTTTCCATGGTACTACCTGCCCTATTCACGACCCTGAAGATGATTTGTGGAGGGGAGAAGAGGGTGAGTGTTTGAGTGCACGGGAGGGGAGGGGACACACACTCCCACAGCTCAGGACAGCAAGCAAACACAAAATTATTAGCAGCACTACTGTAAACACTTATGGGTTATTTTAAACACATCTATTCTAGTCTATATCAAAAAGAAATAGTCCCAGGTATTTCCAACTGCCAGTCATGAAAATCAATTTACTGCAACAAATCATAGAGATGGAGATCAAATTAGTGGGTGCGAGGGATCAGAGGTGGGGAGGTGTGGCCACAGGGGCAGCCCAGGGAGCCACGTGGTAGAGGACAGTTCAGCATCTTCACTGTGGTGGTGATTACAGGATGCTACATGTGAGGCAGAGCTACCAGGAACTGCACACAAACCCCAGACAGTGACATAGCACTGGCGGAACTGGAATAAAATGTGGACTGTACCAACATGAGTTCCCCAGCTTCGATACTGTATCCCAGTTATGGAAGCAGTTACTGCTGCAAAAGGCAGTACAGGGTATGCAGAACCTCCCCATGCACTTGCTTGCAAGCACTGGCAATCTATAATTATTTCAAAATTTAAGTTAAAAATAATTTAGTAGGTTGCAACACATAGTTTCAAAAAGAAAGTAAAATGAAAACATCAGTGCCAAAAAAGGAAACACCCGTTCAGCTCTATATGCACATATATTTTAGGAGGGCAGCAGGCTCCAATGTAAACTGTATTTCTTAGTGTCAGAAGCTTGTGAAATGCTGGAACATAAAAGCAACTGGGAGGGAAGTGACAACGCTTCATTCTCTAAGGGCTCTGGACAGAGTTAATCGTGATCAATATTACCTCATTATTAATAATGACGTTAGCGACTAACGTAGGCCATGCACTGTTCCAAGGACTCGACTCAACATTAGCTTACTCCTCTATACCAGGCAGATCCTATTTCAACCTCCCTTTATGCCTGGAGAAGCTGAGGCACAGAAGGGTCACATCATTGCCCCAGAGACAGCGGATGGTGGAGCTATGACGTGAACAGAGGCATGCTGGCCCCAGAGTCCACAGATTGACACACTTTACTGATGTCATACCTTGTTAAGCAACTGCAAGTTATCTCTAATCTTCAATTTTAAAGTATTTCACTATAGCTAAAAGCTCACTGGAAACACATCAGTTTTTTAAAAAAATCAATAAATACCACACACACAAATATTTAAAGATTTAATACATGGAAAAATTTTTTAAAATACCTTTAGCCTCCAATTATCTCCTACTTCAGTTTTGATTCTGTTTAGCCAATTTTCATCAAAATATGCAGGATCTCTGCAAAATAAGGAAAGCTAGTATATTAAGATCATGACAATATCAAACTAATAAACAAAACTAAATCCCATCCCATATCATCACTTAACTGCAACATAAAAATGTGTTCGCCATATATCAGCCACTAAATAACTCAGTACATGGACCCAGATGCAATTACAGCAGACTTCTCTAAAATTAATTTGACTGTTAGTATAGTAGCCCATTTTTTAAAAATGTATCAAAAACAAACTAAAAGGCAAAAAATGGTAACATACAGCTAACACATTAAAAATCGAGTTATGGATGAATACACTAACCTGGAATCAACTTAGTTGTAGATACCACGTGAATATCTAAGGAGTCAAAATCAATGACATGATTTTCAAATAGACAAGTTAAAATGCAATTTTCAGTTAATATTTCAATGACCTCCATTACGTATTACCTCAAAGGTCACCAATAATGTCACTAAATTTCAATTTCTTCAAATAATATATACTGAGAACCTACTTTCTCAGATGTAGTACGAGGCTTTACACAAAGCTGGACATCATCTCTATTTGCAAAAGGTTTGCACTCCAAGACGACACTGGTGTGGATAAACACTGAGACACAGCTAGGACCTCAACATACTCATCATCATTTTTCTTAGGAAGACCCCCCCATGCCTAATAAACACTACGGCAAAAGAAAAAAACACAAAACTTTGCAAGCCCAGCAAGAGCCTCATTTCTGAAACCAATGCTCTATTCAGTCCTTGTCTAAGACCACAGAACACCTGTTTGTCCTGCTCCCGTAACTGTTAAGTCCAAAAGTCTTTCCATAACACAACTGTCTCTACTCACACACTCACACACATTCTCACATGAAGGGAACAACAACAACATTGACAGATGTAGAAACCAGCCACTTCACACTGACAAAGCCAGTCCCAGGGAAGTTTTATTATCCTGATGTTACAGTTAAGGAATATTAGATTCAGAAATTAAGTTAATAGGATAATTTCCCAAGTTAATAGGATAATTAAGTGGCAGTAAATCATTTTTGTTAAACAGATCAGTAGAATTTGATACATTAGTGGTTCTAGCAAACCAGCACTAAGATCCTGTGGCTGTCTCCTCTGTGTTCACAAGAGGTCACAAGCAGAAAAAGACCTCCACCTCCAACATTCCATGTTCATTAAGGGCAGGCACTCCTAGTACCTCACATCTGGGGCACAGCAGCATCTCAATAAATTTGAATAAACTGACAGCACTTATTTGCATAGCAAGAATTGTAGTCCACAAGTTTCCTAAACACAATACGACTTTTCCTGGTAGTCAACTTGACTCCACATGCTGGCATCTAGTCACAACTTCCATTTCTACAGGTAGTTTACAATCCCGAAAAAGTTTTCTAAGGCCCCCTTAATTAATGGTGTCAGGCTACAATCAAACATAAGGTAATTGTCTCAAAACTCGTAATAGCTGACAGTCTGCACAGACATGTGAAGGACAACTGAGGACCTCGCAGGGGACACTCTTCAGGAGGAAGAGGTTGTCTTTAGCTTCTTACAATGTCCTGACTCCTGCTAAGAAAAAAGGATACAAAATCATTTCCTTAAATTTTACCTGCACTTTATATCAGTCACAGCTTAAGCTAAAGGAAAAGTCCATTAATCTTAATCCTTAATATAATTCCAGAAATACACTGTCTTCTTGTAGTCAAATGCCTTCACAGAAATCAAATGGTAAATTTTATTTCTACTGCTAGAATTATTTATGCAAAGCAATTTTCTTAATGGGATGTAAATTAAGCGCAGTCCAAAACAAGTGCATCTTGGGTCCATTTCTTAACATGGCATTTTTATTAGCAAACTTTTAGTATTTTTTTATAGATATTTTAATTCTTAGGTATGACTGTTTCCTAATGATCTTTTAGTTACTTAAAATAGTCAACTTGGTCTTCTGCCATTAAATGTGTATTAGAGAGTCAACTATAATAATTAAATTTCACATCCATGACCATAAAAATACAGCAAATTATACTTAGCCTCTACTCAGTTGAAATAAATAACACAGGTACACAGGGATAGATTACAAACCAAGGCCAAGCACCTCCCTGCGCTGTAAATCACAAGTGTCTGTTTCTGAGGCGCCTGTGTCAGCGTGACCTTCACTGTATCTCCTCTGGGCTCATTTGTTCTTTTTCCCCTTTTTGTGCACTCAGAGGCACAACTTGCTACATTCGACCTTACTCTTTCATCCAGCATATGGTTGTGGTATAATAAAAAATATTTTCGGTCTTTGTACCTAGTTCCTGGCATTGATCTCCTAAAACCCTTGGAATTTCCTGAGTGATAGGAAAGTCTTTCATAATTTATAAAGAGTCTCTTCCGACCAGAGCAGAGTTTATGCTAACAAGGTGATACACTATGGGGCCCTGGGCTGCTATGGGAGGCGGGGATTTTCAGCCCCACGGGGAAAGGGAGAGGGACTCCAGACTGAGTTCAATCAGTGGCCCAGAATTTCAATCATGCCTATGTAACGAGACCCCATGTAAACACTGTGAGCAGCAGACTGGACCAGCTCCCAGGCTGTGAAGACGTCAGTGGGCTGGGAGGGTGACAAGCCCAGAGGGCAGGGAGCTCTGCACTGCCCCAGTTTCTTTCCCTGCCCTATGCACCTTTCCAGGGGCTGTTACTGAGCTGTGTCCTTCATCCTAATTACAGTGCTTTCCTGAGTTCTATGAGTCATTCGAAAAAATCCTCCAACTTGTGGGTGGGGGTCACAGGATGCCCTGAATTTAAGTTGGCTGGGCAGAGTGCACACTGAGGACTCCACCTCCAGCTCACTGCCCCGGAGGACTGAGGCCCTAACTTTCACTTGTGGGATCTGTGCCGCGATCTAAAATAAAGAGGTTGACGCACAAAATATAAAGAGCTTACAAGAACCAAAGTGAGGACACACCCAGAAGACTCAGATTAACCAAAGCGAGGACACTGCCTAGAAGACTCAGACCCAAACAATCTTGGATGTGAGTTCGGTATAGCCTTTGTTACAGCAAGTTTAAAAAATAAAAAATTTTTTTTAATTTTTACAGATGGGGTCTTGCCATATTGCCCAGGCTGGTCAACTCTTGGCCTCAACTAATCCTCCTGCCTTGGCCTCCAAAGTGCTGGGATTAAAGGCCTGAGCCACTGTGCAGGGCCCACACAGGTTATTAAAGGAGAGTGGGCTGATACAAAGTTGCTTGTCAGGAATTCTCATTGTTTCACATAAATAACTTTGATTAGTGACTGGCTGTACATTGTTAAGTTACAGGGTGTGGGATGTAGCCTTGTAGCAAGCAGTTTTAAGAGATGGGGGGTAGGACATGACTGCTAACTCATTTTACTCTTTCCCTGGACCTGATGATCTAAAAGGACTCATATTCCTCAGATAAAAGTTATGTTCTTTTCTCTGCTAACTCTGGGTAGCATCTGAATTGAGGAACTTTGCCCCTAACTTGTGGGGCCTCAGCTACCTCAGGCAGTGTCAGAATCGGGCCACAGGACGCCCACTGGTATCAGGGAACTGGTGATGAAAAGCAGGAGTGGTGAGTTCTTCCTGACAAGGCCAAAAGAAGATAAAGCTGCTTTCTTTTAATTTTAATGTTAAATTGCATAATCTAATTCATTTATGTGACAAATAGTTTCTGAACGTGTACTACATTGCAGGACAGGGGGATGGGGGATAAGGGAGTTGGCACTATCAAGCAGGCAACTACACTGAGAATCTGAGAAACGTCTGTGCAGATGGGCAGGTGGGGAAGAGGACTGTGATGTGATCCTCTCAGAGACAGAGGCAAGGGCATGTGGAGCCCTAACGCGGGAGCTGCCTGCCCTGCCTGAGAATAGAGGAGCCAGTGCAGGAGAGAGCACGAGGTGAGGGAGGCTGAGGGGACAGTGCAGGAGGGAGCACGAGGTGAGGGAGGCTGAGGGGACAGTGCAGGAGAGAGCACGAGGTGAGGTGGGCTGAGAGGACAGTGCAGGAGAGAGCATGAGGTGAGGGGGGCTGAGAGGACAGTGCAGGTGGGAGCA